AACCAGTGTGGTGGGGGACCCAGTGTCAAGGTAGGGACACAGCTGGGCAATCTGCCTTAGGTGGAAGTAGGCAGAATGGACTACAGACGCTATCTGAGGCACCATAGACATCGCTGGGTCCAGTAGTACACCCAAGCTGCGAACCTCAGTGGAGAGAGTAGCCCCCTCCAAAGGAGAGGGAGGCACCCAATCCACACTAGGGGCACCCACCCACAGGATCTCCGTCTTGCCCGGGTTCAGCCTCTGTCTATTATCCCTCATCCACCACAGCACAGCATCCAGGCAGTGCTCAAGGGATGGGACAGCATCCTCTGCAGAAGGGTGGATGGAGTGATAGAGTTGGGTGTCATCTGGATATTGGTGACACAGAGCTCCAAAACTCCTGATGACCTCCCCCAGGGGCCTCGTATAGATATTAAACAGCATTGGGGATATGATCAACCCCTGAGGGACTCCACATTTAAGGGTCCAAGGGTTGGACATCATGTTGCCAAGCTGTACTCTCTGAGGCCCATCCTCAAGGAAGGATCAGAGCCAGGCCAAGGCCAGACTGCCAATTCCCAACCCACAGAGCTGTCCAAGGAGGATACCAGTGGTCAACGGTATCGAAAGCCACTGATAGGTCGAGGAGGACCAACAAGGACTTTGTGCCCCTGTCAGTCTCTCTCAGAAGGTCATCTTTCAGGGCGACCAATGCCGTCTCCGTGCCATGATGCGGCCTGCAGCCGGACTGGAATGGATCGAGGGCATTGGTCTCCTCCAGAAGGGTCTGAAGCTGATTGGCCACCACTCTCTCTGCTAGCTTGCTGAGGAAGGTAACATTGGCAACGGGTCAATCATTGTTAATATTGTCCGTTGGCAATTTAGGTTTTGAAGGAACAAAGAATAAAGATGTATCTGCCCTTGGCATGTCTTTTGACCAGGGCAATGCCACCCCGCACACCCCTGTTCAGGTCAAAATAAACATTTGAGTGGGTTACATCCATTCCCAGGGGATTTGCCAGGACTGAACCCCACTATATTTTTTTCCCGGGACTGAGTTCCACTTTACTCCACTATAGCAAATTTTATGTTGCAAGATTTCATATTTTAAAAGTGACTGCCCTTACTTTTCCATAGGTTTGCCATTCTCTAAGATCTCACTAGTGGGGGAATTTCAAAGATACAAGTCCCTACGTACTCCTGGCCCCTCCATTATCATTTAGCATGCTTATTTTCTCCAGTCCACCCCACTACCAGCAGCTTATTTGACTTAATTTCAGTCCACATAACCAATTTCAGTTCACTTTGATGTGGGAAATTCAACCGGCACAGATCTCTCTTCATGGCCATCTGGTCTCTAAATCATAGTTTTCTTATATTCTTCAAAAGATCTGTGGCTGGGAATCACATAGAGACCATCACATGATTGCCATTTCTAGATGCGAATCTATGTTTCTCTGTCACAGTGACTTGAAAAACATATTTATTTTGACATACTGATTTAGTAGAATCCATTTCATTCCATGCATCTGGTGAAATGGATTCTAATCTAATGAAAATTGATGCCATAATAAAATTGTTAGTATTTTGATTACATGGTTGGTTCACCATACTGAAAATAACTCCAAATGTTAAATATGAATTGATCTTCTTATTTCAGGGGTGTACAGCATTATTGACTTTGAGGGCCATGTGTTTTTGTTAGCTAGGAAGCTGGCTCAGTAAGTAGGATTGTGTGTCATTTGCCATCTTGCTGGGCTGGGGGCTGGGAAGAATAAAAGCCACTTGTGTCTTCTGTGTTTGCAAATTAGGTTGCTGTTTATTTCGTTGCTGCTAGATATGGAGAAGCAGCCATTTTGGAAGTGGGGGTCGTTAGTTTCTGTGTTTGCAAATTAGGTTGCTGTTTACGTACTGTATTTTGTTGCTGCTAGATATGGAGAAGCAGCCATTTTGGAAGTGGGATCATGGTCGTTAGTTGTTTTCTTTCTCCTATCCCAAACAGTATTCAGCAAGATGACAGGATGATTTTTAAATTCTGCTACTGGCTATATAAATACAGCAATGGAAGCTCAACTGATTGTGAGGGAAAAGGCATGGTATTCTGCCAGTTTCAGGGGGCAGGTTATATATCATTGTCCTACATTATAGGAATCAAATGGATTTCATTTTCATGGCTAAGGTATCTCTCCTGCCAAATACTGGCAATTTAAAGACTGGGAAGATGTGGATTTTGTTAGATATAATCATTTGTATTGTGGTTGTTACGGTAGCGGTGACATCATCTCCCCGTCATTGCAGTGGCTGCGTGTCATCTGCCAATAGCGTGACGGGAGGTGGGACATAAGAGGGTGGAGCTAAGATATTTAAGGGGGAGTGAATGAGGTGTGAGTGAGATAGGGTTTGAGATAGGGACTTGATAGGGTCTGGATAGGGACTTAGGGAGTTAGGGCTTGTACATGTTGTGTAGTCCTGTGCTATATATTAGAGTGAAAGTCTGAGAAAGAGAGTGTGTGTGGGGTACTTTATTATTACTGATTGCCTTTTATTTTAATTATTATAGTGATTTACCATTCCTTTTGTTATTATCAATAAACATAAGTTTTTTATTTTAAAAATCATACCTTTGTCTGAAGAGTAATAATAATAATAATAATAATAATAATAATAATAATAATGTGCCGTCAAGTCAATACTGACTTATAGTGATCCTTTTTCAGGGTTTTCCAGGTAAAGAATACTGAGAAATGATTTACCATTCCCTTCTTCTGGGGTCATCCAGGGACTCTGCAGCTCACTCAGGCTAAAAGGCCAAAAGATTTAGGAAGTATTTTTTCAAAATAAAATATCATGGTTTTGTTTGCCTCAAGTGCTACATTTCATAAACAACCCAAAAGTAGTCCAACAAGGCACCAACTTTTATTGCCTTTGAGGAGGTTATACTTTCTTATAAAAAGTATCTAAAAATAACTTCCTATATTTGTAAAATATTGAATGGCAAACCATCTGGATGGCTTGTAAGATTAAGTATGGGAAATATGTATCCACAGCAATATGGAGAAGTCCAGCAATGAGATCTGTTTCAGTGAATGTCAATGAAAATACTGTTAAACTTTTCCATAGGTGGTACTTAACACCCACAAAATTATCTTGTATCAAAAAACCAATTCGTATAGAATTGGTTTTTGTAGAATGTTGGCTGGGACGTGGTGAAAGAGGCACATATATGCACGCATGGTGGTTCTGCCCAGGAGTAGCAAATTTTTGGGAAGAGTTCAGGCAGGAGAAATGTCAAATAATAATACATACTTTAATTTAGTTTTGAAACCAGAATTAGCTCTTTTAAAGACCTTGATACCTAGCAGAATGCCTTCTCCCACCTAGATCTACTTGTGTCGCTATAGCCAGGAAAGACAGCTGAGGGGCCTAACTCCGAGAGAGGCCCGGAAAGAAAGACCAAGAAACCGGGCCTTCTCGGCAATGGCCCCTCGGCTTTGGAACAGCTTGCCATCAGAGATCTGCCTGGCACCCTCGCTGGGTGTTTTTAAGAGCCAGTTAAAGACTTGGCTCTTTAGGCAGGCCTTCCCTCCTGTCAATACTTGACTCTTTCACTTTTACTTAGTCTTTTTTCCATCTTGTTCAATACTAACATGGTAAATTTAGTTCATGGTTTTAATTGTTTTATGAATAATTTTATTATGAGCCGCCCTGAGTAGACATAGTCTAGAAGGGCTGGATAAAAATCAAACAAACAAACAAACAAACAAACAAACAAACAAATAAATAAATAAATAAATAAATAAATAAAATTAACTATTCTTCCAAATGAAAACATGACCCCCGTAACAATTTGGTGCTCTTTTTATTAATAGTTACTAGAATGGAAATGCGGTAGCTAAAAGAGGGAAGGTTAAAACTCCAATATCTGTTAATATTTGGTATGAGAGGGTATGGATGTTAGCCATTGCTGAACATTTAAGAGATGAAGTAAAAGTAAGAACGAAACACATGTTGAGAAGTTTATTAATACTTGGTTTGTCTTTATTCAGTTTATAAGCAAGAATGAGAACCCTAGAGTAAAATTATCTACAATACATCTGAATGTTTAGTAAGGTTATGGCAAGTGAAATGAAATATGATACTAGAATCTAGCAAATAGGCAGAGTTATATAACTTAAAATATTTTTACTGCATTTATGATATGGAATTAAATTTTTGTATTTCTTTCCTAATTTTTAATAGTTGTATGCCAACACTGTGATTTATTTTTCTTATGCTCTGCACTTTGTATGTTTGCAATTATTATGATAAAAATAAAATAACATTTATTTTTGTTTTTAAAGGCCTTTTCTGGCTCAAGTTGTCGGCCCTTGTTCTAATATCTGATACGATCTCTGTTCATTCACAGATGGGATCCACAGTGTGACCGCCCAGTGTGTCCTACGTGTCATCATCATCACCGAGGACATGTTAGCGAACAGCATCACAGTGCGCCTGGAGAACATGTGGCAGGAGCGTTTCCTCTCCCCCTTGCTCACCAACTTCCTTGAGGGCGTGGCCACTGTCTTGGCCACGCCCAAGGAGGACGTCTTCATCTTCAACATCCAGAATGACACCGACGTTGGTGGCCAAGTGCTGAACGTCAGCTTCTCTGCCATGGCACCCAGGAGCGGCCATTTCTTCAGCTCGGAGGAGCTGCAGGAGCAGCTGTACATGAAGCGCATGACTCTCACCTCCGTCTCCATGCTGGCGGTGCTGCCCTTTGACGACAATGTCTGCCTTCGTGAGCCCTGCCAGAATTACATGAAGTGCATTTCCGTGCTCAAGTTTGACAGCTCTGCGCCCTTCATTGCCTCCCTCTCCACCCTCTTCCGACCCATCCACCCTATCACCGGCTTACGCTGCCGCTGTCCCAAGGGTTTCACGGGCGACTACTGCGAAATGGAGATCAACCTCTGCTATTCCAACCCTTGCCATAATGGAGGCGTCTGCACTCGCAAGGAGGGTGGCTACACCTGCATCTGCCGCCAGCACTTCACAGGTAAAAAAAAAAAAAAAAAGTTTGATCCTCAGCTAGAAGAAAGGATTGCTGTGCCTGGAGCACAACTTGGAAAGCTCCTTGCATTGCATTGCAAAACCCAGAACCGTCCCCTGGAATTCTAAGAGATTCATTGTGCAGAAAAAGACATTTTCCAGGCTCTGAGATGGCAGCCATGCTCCAAATGAAGGAAAGTTCTGGCTTCAGATGCTTCTGGAAGGGGGGGGGATATCCAAATTCTCTGTCAGTTCAGCAGAATTTAATAGGGTATGGGATTCTCTAGGGAATCATGGGTCAAGTAGTCTCACTGTCTCTTAGGCTCTATAGAAGCAGGCTCCCAAAGGATTACCTGTCCCATGCTCCCTTGAGACATGAACCCTTGTGCCACTCCTCAGCACCAGTAGGAGCACTTTCCTTCTTCTTGAAAGGCCAGTCTAATGGCGATGAAGGCCCACACGGAGGTGAGCAAACCTCCACATTAGGTTACATCTTTCGGGCTGCAGCTCCCAGGATGCGGCCTACCTTTGGGAATTCTGACAAAGGGAGCTGCAGGCCAAAAGAAGCAAAAGTCCCTTCCCTGTCTGACACCTTGCATTTTGAAAAGAAAAGACTGCAGGCCAAAATAGGGAATGCACTGTGGACTAGAGCAGCGGTCCCCAACCTTGGGCCTCCAGATGTTCTTGGACTACAACTCCCAGAAACCTTCACCACCACCTCTGCTGGCCAGGATTTCTGGGAATTGAAGTCCAAGAACATCTGGAGGCCCAAGGTTGGGGATCACTGGACTAGAGAACAACACCGCTCAAGCTTTCTGCCAGCTGTTGTGGATCGGCTCCCCAGATGTTGTTGGATTCCAATCCCATCGGTGTCTTAGGCACAATGAAGGATGTTGAGTTTAATAGTGCATCAACATCTGGAGGACTGCAGGTTCCCCAGGACAGCTCTTTGGAAAAGATGGAGGGTTGGAAGAGAAGATATATGGTTGGATCCAGTAGATATTTCACCCAGGGTTTGGGCCTAGGGAATCTCAAGTACAGCTGCACACCATCTGACTGCTTACCTTTCATGAACTTTCATAGGTTTTAAGAAGCCTCTTTGTGTACAGAATTTCAGTCCAGCCTCTGAGGGAAGGTTTATTGAATGTGGTGGAACTTAAACCTAGATCCACAGAACTCCACCATTACTTTTTTTTCCACAAAGAAGGCTGATCTAGCAGATCTATTCATGGGACAGTATCCTCATTTTCCCCTTTGCATTCATGTGCAGAGAGCTAAACAGCATGATAAGAGTTAACACATAATCCTCCACTACTTGTGTTGGTCCTGAGCCATATCATTGCTGATCACGCTTACTTGAATGTGAAATGCTGTTCAGGTAGTGTGGCACATAATTTAGTTCTAAGATGGATGTGAACATATTACTGTCTAAACCAGATGGATATATATTAACTAGACAGACCATCAAGAAAACAGCCACCAGCCAAGGTCTGCTGGTATAGAGACAGAGAGTGAGTCAGTCATGCTGGCAGGGGATTCTGGGAACTGTAGTGCAAGAAAATAACTTCTAGCAATTTTTGCAAGCTGCAAATGTAGAAATGGTTTTCATGACTTAGCCCTATATCTCCACCACCACCACTAGAAAAACTGTAAGGCAGTAGTAATTGACAGGCGGAAAAGAGGCTCTGTGGTGCCTTGTTGGTGAAGAGATAACCAAAGTCAATGATAATTAATCTGGAATGTCAGGAAGCATGAGCTCCCATTAGGAGAAGGGTTAATGATATGCTTGCTACCCTGTCACCCTCTGATATCTCCCTGTGCTCTTATACAAGTGGACAGGAAAGAAGGACATTGTAAAACCAAACAAACAAACGAAAAAATCAAAGGGGAAACCAGAGGAAGAAAAGAAATGGGTCTTTCTCCCCTCCCCCCTGCCCATCTCTTTTGAGACTATTGCAATATGTAGGTTGCACAGCTTGGGGGAACTCTGGAAAGTGGAGTCCAAAAGCAGACACCTGCACCCTTCTAGCTTTTTAATATCAGATAAGACCGTTGGTCCATTTAGCCCAACCTTGTCTGCCTGATTTACAGCCAGTGGCTCTCCAGAGTCCAGGGTAATCCGATCCTTAAAGATTGCTGATTTGGGGAATCGTGAAGGGATAGCATGTTTCATTCATTTATTTA